AATGCTTCTCGGTTAATTCCCAGATACTCAAGGCACAAAGTTTTGGAAGTATTCTCCCTCGAACTTTGGCCGAATACCTCAGATTTGGCTAAGTTTCATCACAGGCAAAATCAACAAAAGTGAATAATGAATGTTATATAATGACCGATGTGACTACTGTATGCAAAGGATGAAGTTAGATAAGCATCATATCAACAGAATGAAGAAAGCAATGGAATTTAAATAACCAAGTATGGCAGATCATTTATATTTGGACACAAGTACTGTACTGACTGTCAGAAGTAAATGTAAATAAACTAACGCAAATTTAAGTAACCTTCAGCAAAAGAGGCATAAAAAGAATCCGGTATTATATGCTCAGTTCACTTAGAATAGCCAAGCCATTTTAATATATCAGATTTTATCTATCATGGTATTCCAGACCAGGTTTAATGGTAAAAAATGGCAAAACAGCACATACTGAAAAAACTTAAAGTTCATATCTAAATTCAAGTAAACAGAACAGAACAGAACAACAACAATATGAAAGAGAGAGAGAGAGAGAGAGAGAGAGAGAGAGAGAGAGAGAGAGAGAGAGAGAGAGAAGAGGAGGGGAGAGGGAGAGGGAGGGGAGAGGGAGAAGGGAGAGGGAGAGGGAGAGGGAGAGGGAGAAGGGAGAGGGGAGAGGGGAGAGAGAGAAAGAGAGGAGAGAGAGAGAGAGAGAGAGAGAGAGAGAGAGAGAGAGAGAGAGAGAGAGAGAGAGAGAGAGAGAGAGAGAGAAGAGAGAGAGAGAGAATATAAAAAAAAAATTGTGGGACATCAAATCCTTTGTAATGTATTCACTTTCAGCTGTGAGACTAGCTCCTTACTGATCTTTGCGAAGTTGATTAAGACAACATTGAAAATGTCAAGTCATACATATACAACAGCTGAAAACTTCCTTCATGAATCTGTTTTTGTTCAATCATGTCAACAAACTAGCTACTCTAAACTGAGCATGCCTTGGAGTACAAATTCAGCCTTATAATTCAAATACATTGAAATACAACATACAAACTAAAAGCTTCATGCCTTTAGCTAACCATTACAAATATATAATGTAATATCTTGGACACAAGACCTTCACATGGATAGGAGGCTACAGAGGTGATTATGGTATTAAAACAAATAAATCTGGGTTACTAAATAAGCAAACTCAAATAAAACTGCTTTTAAACTTCCCAGGCTGTTCAAAACATGCAACATTAAGATGTCTCAAAAGTCAAAACTATGGAATTTCAACCAATCTGACCTATTAAGTTAAACTTTAATGGAAATTCACGTCGCGTGATATGTGATGCATTATCTTAATCAGGGACTGTTGCTATTTCGCAAGTAAAATGTGATGATAATTACCTTTTTTAAAAAGGAGAGATCAACAAGGGGGAAATTTAAAAACGGCAAGGCGCTACTAATGGATATCTCGTGTCCATCAAAAGCATACTTAGGCTGAGGAAAATAATCAAGAGATATAGTCATAAAGCTCCACAGTGCGAACTTTGAGCCACCCCGGATGACCTCACACTGAAGACAGCGTTCCACCTGCGGCGCCCAGGCCCAAGTCCCCATCATCACCAGGTTCTCCTCCACACCTTCCTGACCTGCTACTTGACCTTGGCCCTGTTCTTGACCCTGGCCCTGACCTCCACCCTGGGAGTCATTATAGGTTGCAGAGGAGGTGCTAGTCTGCCGTGACCTGGGGAGCTCAATTCTGCTGAAGTCGAACTGGCTGATCTCTGTGTTGGGTCAAATTTAGGGTATCGGATGTCAGATGAAGAAGCCGGGCATTTGACAAAATAATTGGATAAACATGCAGAGATTAATGACAGTAATCTTGTCTTAATACATCTAAATTTCTCCTTATCCTGTAAGCATTCCTCATTTTTTTCCCTATCTGTTCATATTTTATAGAAGCTAATAATACCGATATAACAATAGAGTTATATATAGAATAGATCTTTTACATATAATATAGTTTGTTTTGAATACATTTCTAAGCGTAAAATGTGTTAAACACCTATACAAACACCAAATTTTGATACAATTCATTCATCTGTTTACATAATATACTTATATATTTAAAACACAAAGACCAGAACACAGACAGACAGACAGACAGACAGTCAGTCAGACACACACACACATACTAATGATAATAACAATAATAATAATAATATTAACAAACATAAAAATACCCTAAAATCTCTAATAATGGCACTCCAGGAAAAAATGCTTACTATTTGTATGTTTTCAGTTTTAATGCAGGAATTTCTTAAAATGTTCTTAACCTTTTATAGAAATAAATTGCTGAATTGAAAGATAATTATTATTTTGTTTTCTTTCTTTTTTCTTTTCCTTGATTTCAGGTATGTTGGTTACTGTCTCATACAATATTACAGCTGACCAAAGACAAACAAATAAAAAAAATAAAAATTCTGATTGTCATTGATTTTTTACTATTTACTGAAGAAAAAGTATGGCTCATGGCAGCAAATTTATTCGCATTAAGATGACATCACGGCAGAGACCCTTCACGTAAGTATTACATTGTCATTGTGTTATGCATGATCCAGCCTCGATGTTGCAAACACGAAACAGTAGTGTGCTTGTTTGACCTGAGCTGCTGTCACAGAGGAGAAATAGCCCCTCAAAAGTAAGCTGAAACCTCTTTTTTTAGCATTATTACCAATTCATTTATGTCGCAGCCAAAAGTATTGAGAGCAAAGTAACTTAATATTTTCCATGCTTCCAAGTTATTCCCTGGAGAAGCTGACTCAACGAGCACTCCAGTATGTGGTTTGGTATAGGAATGAGAGCTCCTGTTATGAATGGATTAATGCTACTTCTGGCCATATAAACAATGAATGTAGAGTGCTTATACATGAAACGGTGGTCAGGTCACATCTGGAATTATGTATGAATGCCTTTGGATAATCCATGGTTCCCAAGTGTGGTAAGGAGAAAACAAACATCTTCCAAACATAAACTACAAATCCTGGGTGTGAATCATTATCCAATCAGTTTCTGAGTAGGCCAGCAACGTAAAGGAGACAAATACATGCAAAGCACAACTGGGAATCAGACAGGTGAACAACAAGGTGATAAACACGACCAAAACATGACTGCAAATCCAGAAAGTGAGGAAGCAGTATCCCCATGCCTCTGCCTAATATTCTGCCACAACCACCAACATACCTAGAAAAACAGGCATGTACACACACATGAAGGGTAAGGGAAAGGAAACATTATTATTATTCAGAGATCCACGTCAAAAATCACAAATTATGATCCCATGTCTAATACCCAACATGACCTGACTGTTGTTACACATATCTGCATTCTTTATCTTTGTTAATTTCTTTTATACATCAGAATATTTTCAAAAATTCCCTAATAGTCAAACTGGAATGAAAATCTCATACAGGTTGAATACCTACAATTTCCTAGTGAAATCTAGTCAAACAAACATAATTTGATCAAACTCTCATATTATATTTTTACATACATGGGAACTTGCCAGAATGCCCTAAGGTGTAAAAAGAAGGAAAAAAAATAAATAAAAAAAAGGTTAGAAACCCATGATTTATACACAGACTTGTATCCTTATATATAAACATACATGTATGCGTTCATCTGTGTTCAACATATCCATTCCTAGTCAACATAATGTGCTCATCATAACAGACAAACTATTCTTTCAGGTGATGTAGATAACCCCACAAGCACTGTATCGATAATAATAGAACTCCTTATCATAGTCTCCTGGTCAGACATCAACTCTGATATAAAAAAAGACTCTGCAAACTTAAAAGAAATACAAAGTAGAAAAAATCCTTTAATCTGCCAATACAGATATATTAATGACTAAAACAGTTAAATGCACATACCCATTGGAACAGGCCCTTGGTTTTGCTGCCTCTGCCCTCCTTGTGGTTGTCGCTGCTGCTGCATATGCTCTGCCGCCCGCCTCAGCAGTGTAGTGCCACGAATCACCATAATGAGTTCTCCATCTTTTACACCATAGTCTTTGAGAGTCTTCTTATCATCGGTGAGTGGTTGTGCATTGAAAACAACCATCATTTCTCCAGCTGGAATTCCTACCTGCAATATAAGACTGTTTTAATTGTACTTGTCTTTAAATCTTTTAAGAAAAGCACGAGAGAAGATACTGAAGTCTTCTCTCCAGTACTGGTGCTTTTACAATTGAGATGTCAGTGAGGCCTGACTGTCCCTCTTACATGAATAATTCATGCTAGTACAGATCCTGGTAGCTGTATTTTCAATTATTTCCTCTTAGTATAGCAATTGATATTAAAACCCTTTCCATTTCCCATCAACATCATAATTAATGAGATATTATTCGTTAATGAGTAATTTTCTAAAATGGGAATGCCCCAAGAGGAAAACCCACCATATATAAAGAACACACAAAACAGTACCACTCAGTATTAAACATAGTCTACATCAACTACATCACGTAAATGCATTTTGAAATTGCTCATCACAACCATCTGATCCATGCATCACAAGGTTGTTGGATAATTACTCTTTATTGTACTAACATTAAATATTATTCATCTCAGGTATATGCTTTCAGAATACCCATAATGGTTAATGATGATGCTGATGATAATATCAACGTTAATACTACTACTAAAAGGAATAATAATGATGAAAGTATCAAAAACAACAAATACTAGTACTACTCTTAAAAGCATACATCCAATGATAAAATATTGAAAAGTACTCCATATTTTCAAATTTCATCTCGACATTAAGGAGATCGTCACCCTGAATTTTCAACAAAATTGAGAGAGATTTGGCAATACTACCCTACATTGTGGCAAAGCTTTAGAGGGAAATTATAATAACTAAAGACAGCAGCCCTTTTTGATACCCCATGTGCACAAATGAATATCACTCAGAAAGAAGACCTTCCACTCCACAGCACCAAGAATCTCTACCTTACCAAGATGCCGTGTGAGAAGCTTGACTACGTGAAGGAAATCTACCGGGAACTCAACGCACCTGACCTTCTGTCCCAATGCCTGAAGGGAGCCACACAGAATGCAAATGTCCCTACACAGCAAGAACTGGAGTAAGATCAGCAAAAGGAAGTTTGCTGGCAGGTTTCCGAGTCGTGTTTCTGGCATATGCAGTCGTGCTGGAGCACAACTTCAGAAAATCTGCCGATTTCCTCCAGCAATTGTGCGGCGTAAATTTCCTCATCAAGGTACTGAAGAGATTTATATCTATTTTTGATTTTTTGAAAACAGCAATGAAACTTTTTATTTTCAATTTTTTTTTTTTAACTTCATTATCAAATTTTGAGACTAATAAAAGGAGCATAAAAAAAAAATCACTATTACCAATTCTAGATAATAAATGAAGGATGTCATATGAGTAAGCCTGACAGCATGGAGCACCAAACAAGAAAAATTATGATTCTATTTTTCTAATTCAGATATTTATTGGCCAAATGAAACCAAACACGGGATGTAACATCTTCATAATCATACCAACCAGGAAAAAATAAAAACAAAAATCTAAGTCCCATATCAAGGGTACCCATATTAGATAGTGACGGTCTCCTTAAGCTGACAAACCCTCTTTGGACTAATGAGGAAGTAACCATTCATTGTGATGCTATAAAAATTATCTAAAATGCCATTCATCCCTAGAGTCCAAGGACAACATCAATCAAATGACTTCTTATTCTTTACACCCAAGTCAAGCAGACTTGATTGAGCATGGTCTCGAAAAGCAAGGGAGCATGAGGAAGTACTTCTGGTAAAGTTTGGCTGATTTTTTCCAGCTACACCCTCCCCAAACGCACATCTATTACCCCATTCCCTGGTGCTCATTCCTCTCACTTCATATCCCCTGAATCAATCATATGACTGCCTCCTAATGCTCCATGTTTTGGGTACTTTAGCACTTTTTTTTTTCTAATCATAATATAGAAAGACTGAATCTGGCCTTTTTTTTTATATAAACCTTATATCACTAGGGAAGAGTAAAAAAATCTACCTTGGCCAGAGATAGGTAGTTAGGTTGGTTTCTTGCCTTTGGCAGAGTACCAAAAATGCCAGGTTGTAGGTCTTTTTCATAAAACTTTAAACACAGCAGCCAAAACCAATTGCTGCTAAGTATATACATAAAGTTGTAGAATCACTTACACTAATTTTCATGTTAACATGCAAAGAAAAAGAAAGACAATTATAAAATGCTAACACTAAGTGAATGTTGACTGATAAAATGTGGTAAACACAGCTTGTAAATGCACTAAACTAATACAATAATACATTTTTTGCCTTCAAACTGACCTTCTACATAAGGCTTTAACCTGCTTTACTCTGACAAGCATCCACAACTTCTCTCAAGGTAATATATCAGTCCTTTCATTTAAGTGATTGATTGCAAATGATTAAAAAAAAAAAAATGTATATGCTGGACAATGAACCTAGCTATATTTGCAATGGTTATTTACTCAACCGGGAAGATTGGCATCCATTCTTGACATAGCACCATAGCTCGCCAGTCCCACCCTATCGGCTTATCAGACAGAGATTCTTTATTTCCTCTAGTAATGGTAACAATCACATGGTTAAACTTTATGGCACTGACATAAAGTGAGGATAAACCTTCACTTTTTAAAAGTTTTTAAAATCAAAACCAAATATAACCTTTTAGGTGCATAAAGTTGTCCACAAATTACCAAAAGAGCCAGGCACAAATGGGGGAACTGCCGATTGACGCCAACCATCCTGTTTGTGCAGCCACTAGCCAAAAAGATGATTCTGTGGCAGATGGTTTAATATCATTTTTAAGTTATTACCTAATAGGACATGAAATTTTGCATGCCTCTATAACCCTTGCACATTTACTTGGAAATTTGATAAGCCTTGGTAAAACTTCTGTCAGTGTTAACAGTTTAGTGTGTTTTGAATAAGCTTGGATTTTGCCTTTGAAATATTCCATGTGCAAAGGCCAGTAGCAAGTACATGAGTGTGGAGCACAGATCTGTAGTAGATGCACAAGTGTGTGGTATGCATTAACTACTTCAGATCTGTAGATTAATTCATAAGGCAGAAAGTAATTCAAAGTTTCATTAATGGCCAGATTTCAATATTTCTGAATATCTTCACACTATTTCATCACCATCTATCAATATTCCCAGTGGAACAAATTTCAAACCATAAAAGCATGTAGGAAAAGCATGTGATAACCCAGTCTGGAATCAAGGCCCTTTCAGCCAAGGATTTTGGGTGAATGGCTCTTTCAAAATTTTATTCGCCTGTATATATTTCCCAACATTAACGTCACTGACATATTATAGAAGGCACAATATAGATAAGCTGTATTCGCTTATCCATATTCTAGAGTTACGGCACTCCACTGCGCATGCACGTAATCTGGTAACTTTGACAATTACTTACGTCTGATGAGGCTTTTTCCCATTTCCAATCTGACCTAAAATAACCAACCTAACATAATTGGTTAGGTTGGTTCGGTTAGGTAAGGCTGATTAGGTTAGACTAGGTTGGTTAGGTTAGGTTGGTTGAGTTAAGTTAGTTTAAGTTGGTTAAGTAAGATTAGGTTGGTTATTCACATCACCCACCATTTTCGTGGAATGCGAAGCCAGAATCCAAACATGCACTTGCATGCTCAAAAGGCACTACCATTACACTAGCGCAGTTGGAGCTGATTACGGCTGCCGTAACAATAGACAGTGCGTTATAAAAAACATGTATTCAGCATTTGAAAAACTGGCTTAACATATATCAAATTTGGTCTTGGTATACTGAGTACCTACATCTCTGGCAGACAGAAATCACAGATTCCAGTACGGGTGGTAACAGGAAATAGTAATAAATAGCAATCATAATAGGCATCAGGCTGTGTATACACATCCAGAAATGTCAAATTCTATCAGACTACCTTTGAAATACCCCTCCTAGAATTAAAAGATTAAAACCCACAGAATTAGGGAAAAAAACCCTCTTCCTCTACACACAATAAAACAAGTCCACTCCAACATAGGAACCAAAAACCAAAAAAAAAGTCTAAACAACAAAAGTATATCAAACATTTCGAAAGAGAGAGAGAGAGAGAGAGAAAGTCCGCACCTCCATCTCACACAAGGCTTTGAAATTCTCCAGCTCCAAATCCTGAGCCACCTCCAGGGGGTAAATCTCATTCTCAGTCGTCACAGAAATCCTCATGGTGGACCAAAAGACTTCGTGTTGCTCGCGAGAGAGGACAAAGACGAGCAAGTTCCTCACTCTCTCCCTCGGTCCTCGACACTGAGGTCGGCGATGTTTGTTTACGTTTTATGAAGTCGACGGTTGGGCGGCGAAGGGAGGGGGGGGGTAGGCGGAGGAAGGGAAACTCGGTCGCTGGGAGGGTGATGCTCTCTCAGCTGGGAGCGTGTGGTGATGAAGAAGTGATGATGAAGTGATGTTCAGGTGAGGATCATGGGTGGTGATGAAGTGATGCTCTTCTAGGAAGCGTGTGTGATGAGGTGATGCTCTCAGCTAGGGGGGGGGGGCATGTGGTGAAAAGGTGATGCTCTTGGCTGAGGATCATGGGTGGTGATGTGGGGATGCTCAGCTGAGGATAGTGGGTGGTATTGATGTGATGCTCATCTAGGAAGCGTGTGTGATGAGGTGATGCTCTCTGCTGGGGAGTGTGTGGTGATGAGGTGATGCTCCATCTGGGAGTGTGTGGTGATGAGGTGATGCTTAGCTGAGGATAATGGGTGGTGATGAGGTGATGCTAAACTGGGGAGCGTGTATTATATATGGTGACGCTGTGGTGAAACTTAGGCGGTGAGAACTCAGTATGGTGATGAACTGTGATCATGAGCGTGATCTTAAATGACGATGATGATTCCACTGCATGTGATAATGGTGATGACCGAGGTGGTGAGAATACGTGGGGATAGTAAGAAGTATGATCACTTATGAGCTGGTGATGGTGTTATTATTATTATTTATATGATTATTGTTGTTATTACTATTATTATCATTGTTATTATTATTATTATTATTATTATTATTATTATTATTATTATTATTTTATTAATATTATCATCATCATGGTATTAACGATGATAATGATAATGCTAAATAAAGTGATAATGATAATGATGTTGATATTAATGATAATGATAATTATCGTTACTGATATTATTACTAATGTAATCATTATGATAATCATTATCATTATTATCATCATACTCATAGCAACACTGATATTGATGATGACAGTAACATAAATTATAATGATGATATTAATAACAATAGTGGAAACAGTAAAACAATTTGTCTCGTAAACCTGTTACTTGGTAACTTTGGCATATTGAATATTCAGTTGACATAAAATATCGATATTTCTTAAGTATGTTGTTTTTTTCAATAATTTCCTTTTTTCAATAATGCTTGATTATGAAAGGAACGAAATGTATTCCTGGTCAGCAGTATCTCATCATGATTCAACTCAGTTTTGTTAGCTATCATGATTATATATATAAACCAATTACTAATACATTCATTTACATTTCCTTCTGCACAGTTTTGTAGTAAAATAAGGTATTAACTTTATTGTATCAAAAATGCTGATATCATTTTTCCCTTGGTTGGCATTTGCTAGGTTTCCCTTAGTACCGTTTCTGTAATAGAATCAGTTATTTATACAATCGACAGATGGCAGTGTTTGTCGTACATGCCTTTCTTCATTATTTCCCTTCTTGCCCAAATGTAATAACGTAACATGAAGTAATCAGTGTTTCCATCTCATATCCATATTGATAATTATGATTATTCGAATCGAATTAATGAGAGAGGTACACGTGCTTAATCTCCCAATGACTCATCGACTTGCATTGCGCATTCCTTGAAATCCATTGTGATGTTTTATGACGCAATTGCTCTGTGCAGAACCTGACACTAAGGGATTCTGATGACATTATTAATGGCGGCTTTCTAGCACCTTCTGCCATACCAGGACACTTGCTATTGACCAGAGACTGTTGTATAAGTAGCTAAATACAGCCTTCTCGTATGTTCTAGGGTTATCCATCACGCAATAGCGAATTTCTCTCGCAATAACTATCTACTTAAAATCCTTTTGTGTTAACGTGTCTGCGTTTTATTATGTACCCTTTGACAACTACAGGAAATCATGCATAAACTGCCTTTATCTATCAAGACATGTCTGAATTCTCTTCAACACAATATGGTATTATGTATATGAGTATAAAGATTCATGCCGTACAGTATATACATGTTACATAGGTTCCCACACCACAGAATCTCTCTGTAAAACAACATACAAAGTATTACATGATTTTCCATCGCACTCGCGGATTTTCGACGTAAAAAAGCGACGCAGATGATCCCAGTGGTTCACAAAGGACTAAGTGGTGCTGCGCTGTGTACCTTTCTTTGTTAGACTTTGTTTACATAGAATTGATCTTGACACGAGGAGAAAAGGCATGGGCGAGAGTGAATAGCTTTTTAAAACAGCATTTTGATAATCATACCCTATGTTATTACTACAAATTATAAAATTATTTCTAGTTGGTTTTAGTACAAATATTCTAGCATTTCACTTTTATAATTAAAAAATAGGAAAAAAAAAGAAAAAAAAAAATATATATATATATATATAATATATATATATATATATATATATATATATATACCTATATGATTACGTAGATGATAATGGCGAACACTGATAACTATATTTGATACTGATTGTAAAAAGCTTCGCAAAACATCATGGCTATTTATAAAACAAAGAACTGAGCCGGACCAAGTCTAACAAAGACATCGAGTTCTTTTCTAAAGAGACGAAGTTAGTTAAAAAAAACATTTGAGATGTCGAGAATTTTGGCTGTAATGTGGTTAGTCGCTGAGGGAGGCTAAATATATACCTGTAGCTTTACAAGTATCTGTATTAGTGTGCTCACTCTCATTCATTCATAGATTATACGCACACACAACTCGCACACATATACACTGTATATATATATATATATATATTATATATATTAATATATAAATATATATATATATGCATACATATATTATATGTATAATATATATAATATTATTATATATAATATATTATATATATGTACATATATATAATATATATATATATAATATATATTGTATGTATAGTTATATATATTTGTTTATTTGTATATATACACACACAAACCACACATATATAATATTATATATATATAATATATATATATATATATATATATGTTTGTGTGGTGTGTGTGTGTGGTGTGTTGTGTGTGTGGTGTTGTGTGCACATCGTACCTTTAAGCGAATTTATTCGGCAGCTGTACAATACGATAATAGTTAGAAATAGATTAATAGATAAAGAGAGAGACTCTGCAGTTATTCTTATATGTATGTATATATAGAGAGAAACATGCATGTATATGTTTCTGTGCGTGTGTATATATATATAATAATATATATATATATTATATATATATATATATATATAATTAATATATATATATGCAGTATATAACATCATATTCGTGTGTGTGCGTTACCCTTACAAGTGAATTCCGGTCACACAAAAAATAAAATAAAAAAAGACTTGTCACTAAACCATGTTTTTTTTTTCTTTCATATCGAACCCATACTGCTCTCACGTTCGAAATAATACTGTACTAGAGAGTGTATAATAAAGATTATGTTGTATCAGAGTAAAAAAAAAAAAATAAATAAAAAAATAAAATAAAAAAAAAAAAAAAAACACATCTCGGGTGAACATATACAAGTGCATTCCACCCTCACGCAGTTGAAAGCAGTTGCAATGGGCGTGATCTGTCGACGCCCACTTTACTGGCCTCCTGTACATCCGCCCATAATTCTGCGCCAAGAAACAAAAACGAAATGATAGTAATAAAATCAGAATAAAAAAAATAAAATTCCCCTTTTTAAGCAAACATCTAAGCTCGTTAGGTCATTGAGGTCATTTTCTTTTTTTGCGAATATAGTTAAAAAAAAAAAAAAAATGCTGGTATTTTTTCTTTGCCAATGGGTCGATTTTTACCCTATATATTTGTATCACTGAAATGTATAATGTTTGTTTGTCTGTTTTCCTGACAGTGGGGTCTAAAGAGTGAGATGACTTTGAAAAGGATTGTGGAGCTGAGGGTAGTTACGTAATTACGTATTTGGTTGGTTAATGTTTTTCTTCACTTTTGCCTGTCTTCCATCCGTGTCTTTCTTTCTTTTTCTCTCTTCTTTCGTTCTCTCTCTCACTCTCATTCTCTCTCTCTCTCCCACTCATTCGCTCTCTCTCTCTCTCTCTCTCTCTCTCTCTCTCTCACACTCACTCTCTCACTCTCTCTCTCTTCTCTCTCTCCTTTCTCTCTCTCTCTCTCTCTCTTCCTCTCTTCTCTCTCTCTCTCTCCTCCATCTTTGCCTCCTTCAAAGACA